CGAGCTGGAAGTTCCTATTGCTGTAACTCCTGACAAAAATAAAAAAAATGTATGTATTCTATACATATATATATTTACAATATAACTATCTTTTAGAGGGAACTGTTACATTTCATTGAGCATTTTACACGAAAAATGGGCAAAATATTTTAATGAAAGTATGTCTGAAGAAATTTTTTCAGTTACTAAAAGCAGCCGAATTTCTTTTTGCAATCCCATCTCACAATGCCTATATGGAAAGAATATTTTCACTTATTGCAGCCCAGTGGACCAAAGAAAGAAATAGGCTGCTTTTATCTTCGCCGAAAGGAATACTCATGACTACATATAATTTAAAAAATATGAGCTGTCCAGAGTTTTATGATTTTGTGCTTTTGCCAGAAAATTTAACTTTTTTAAATAAAATACAAAGTAGCAAAAAGTACCTGTAGAGTGTGTTGTAACTTGTTTTACTTCGTAAATTTGAATAAAAAATGCATTTTTTTGTTCTTGTTTTATTAGTAAAATGAAAATGTTATAATGATAACCATCATCAATCATCAGATAATGTTACTTTGCTAAAAAAAATTATGACGGTCGGATTTTGTCCGGATTTTCTTAATGGCTTGTCCTGGGTGGACAAGTTTTCATCTGGTAACTATGAAAATAGGTTATTTCTATTTTAGAAAGTTTTTTATTAGTTTTTTATAAATTTCAGATGGAAGGTCAAAACAATAATGATCCCTATGAAAGAAATTAGCAACGGTTGCTCACCTTGCTTGACGAAGTTTCTACAGATGAAGAAAAAGATCCATTTGCAGATAGTGATGGCGAGTATGGTTCTGATATGAACTACGAGAAATCTTCATCAGAATCTGACGAAAGTATGTCATCGATTGACTCAGATAAACCCACTGTATCAAGAAAAAAAAGTATTTGCTAGTAGGAACAAAAAATCTTTGATACCGGAAGAACCGAATCGACAAACAACCTCAGATTCTCCTGAACCTTTACCTGACAACGGGGTCGTTTCTCCAGAGGCTTCTCCGCCACCCTCACCAAGGCCTTCTACGCCAGTACCTTCCGATACTGATTCATGGGAAAGTACCGCTGCTCCAATTCCTGACTTCAACTTCGAATGAGAGCAGCAACCGTTTGAAAATAAATAGCGGTCCAGGTTCAACAGTAATGGAATTATTTGAGTCTTTTCACTCCAAATATATTGGACTACATAGTCGAATGCACAAACAGTTATAGTATAGCTTTGATGAAGACTAATAGACCTAAAACGCGACATAGTAGCGCAAGGTTTCGCCCAGCAAGCAATGAAGAAATGAACAAATTTTTGGGGTGGTTGTGTCTGTTACAAGGCCAAGTTTCTTCTAAAAACATGCGTTGTTATTTTTCATATTCGGATACATTGTACTTCCACCAAATTTTTTCCTATATTCAGCTAGAAAATTCGAGCACATACTGAGGGTTTTGTGTTTTAGTCTAGTCAATTCTAAAGGCAAAGATAAAATACAACTTCTCATAGACATGCTAATATCACAATTTCAGAGTGCTTATAGTCCTTCTAAGGAACTTTCTATTGATGAATCATTACTACACTTCCGTGGGAGCTGAAATTCAGGGTGTACATAAAGAACAAAAAGTCCCGATATGGACTCAAATTTTTTGAGCTTACGACGTTTGACGGATACCTTCTAAATATGGAATTATATAATGGTCCTGTAGAAGAGGATGACGAATCAGATAACACTAAAACTGAAGCTGCCCTCATGAGACTGATGAAACCATATCTCATGAAGGGCCATGAATTGTTTATGGATAACTACTACAATAGCTATGAGTTGTCCGAAAAGCTACTAAATTGGAAGACTCATACCAATAGGAAAAGTAATCCAAAAAATTTAGTTCAAAGAAAATTAAAGAAGGGCGAACATTTTTGGGTTTGCAGAAAACAAGTGTATGTTTCCAAATGGAGGGACAAACGAGACGTCACCCGAAATCACCCTCACATGATTAGGGTGAAAAATCGTTATGGAAAAGAACAACTGAAACCCATAGAGGTTACCACATATAATGATCTCATGTCAGGAATTGATCACTGCGTTAACAAATGACTGCGACCTACTCAACCCCAGAAGGAAAACTCTCGAAAATACCGATTTCTTCATTTTAGAGATGAATTGATAAAAAGTCTAATTCAACTACATAGTAATACTAAAGCAATACATTTGTTACATTTATGTTTATGTCTGCCAAACAAACACAGACCATCCGCCAAAGAATAATGGGAGTCACGGAGCAATAGAAAGCCAGTATAACTTTTTAACAATGTTCTAAGTATAGCTTATACCTGGCTTATACTTGCATTGGGGAACAAGTGTAGATTTATCGAGAGAATAAGTATTCGGAGCATAAAGTTATCCTACGATTTAACTGGCGCATAAGTCACCGCTGTTTTACAACTCTAGTTTTGTAACTTTCTATTCCCGAATAAGTATTAAAATAATAGTGGAAAAATATTTGAAGTTGGTAGCACAAAGTTGTTTTGCGCACGCGCCAATTATGTACAAACTGTATAGTTGTGACAATTCAATATAACCTCTGAACTTGTTGCTTCTTTAAACCTCGTGTGGCTTTCTTGTGTATTTGTTGTTTTATATTTTTGTGTAAGATACAAACAAAGAATATGGATTCGACAAAACGCATATGTTCTAATCTCGGTTCTAATGTTAGTAATAATGAAATGGATATTTTGTTGGCTCTCGTTGAAGAACATAAAAGAATAATTGGTATGTATCGTTAACATTTTTATTAATAAAGGTAAGCAATTATTAAATTTATAACTTTACTTTTAGAATGCATGAAGACAGATACAGTTTCAAATCATGGTAAGGATGCAGAATGGGAGAAGTTAACGAAAAAATTTAATGATGCTGCTGCAGGGTCTGGACGAACGGCAAAGCAACTGCATATGAAGTGGGACTCTTGGAAGAAAACAATGAGGAAAAATTATAGTTTAAAAAAAGAACAGGTGGTGGGTTTAGTAATAATAGTTTTGATAATTGGAAGGAAAGGATTTTAAGTGTTACAGGAATTTCAGCTACTGTGTTGAGTGTTCTTTTGATTCAGTTAATACAAGTGAGGGTAGGTGATGGATTTTAATTAGTCATTGGTAGAATATGCTAATAAATATTTTGGTGCCTAACATTGTAAAAATTAAAACGTTTTCAAAACATATGAGGTAGAAATTATGAAATATTTTCTTTTTATTTCAGAATTTTAAACAAATTAAAATTCTATAAATGCAGTTGTTTCTAGTAATATTGTGCAGAACATTGCAGAACGACTCTGTATGTGAGGTTCGAATAGTGAAATAATAGTTTACTGAAAATTTTAGTGTAGCTGGCAGAGTATCTTTCCAGATAAAAATTCACTTTAATGTGTAATGTTGGTTGCAGTATAGGATTTGCATTGTTAAATTTAGAATTTTGTCAGTGTTTGTAATGGCGTCGGATGCTGATCGTGTACCTTCAACTACCGTAAGTAAATTGATTGTTTTACTGATTCATTAGTCAATTAAAATGGAAATCCCGTCGTTTTCATTTTATGGGAAGAAAGGAATTGAAAAAGTGAAATTTACACGTGTTACCACCAGTGGACCCCAAAAATTTAGATGATAATGAATCGATCCATTTTAAAAAGGAAAATAGACGTGCAGTGTCCGCCGATAATAAAACAGTATAATGTGGACTTAGCAGATAATGCTAATTGCACTTTATAAAACCCCACTTAAGTCCAGAGGATAATATCTAGGAATTTTTGGTACATTCAGAAGACTGTATGACAACTTGGGACAATATGATTCTTTCTGTATACCCAAAAACAGAGAAGACAATATAAATGAAGCTGCGGAAATAAATGTCTATTACATTTATACAAAATCCCTCAATTTCAACATGGCTATTATATGTGTATATATTATATTTATTTTGGTCTAAACTTTCGCGGTTCTGCCACTAACGATTACAAAAAATAGGAATAGAAATTTATAAGATAAAAGGAACTGTGAAACCATTCCAAGGGACTTTTGATATCAAAATATGTTGAAGTTAAGAGTTGTGTTATTTCATATTAAGTAAGACATACAACGGCAAATTGCATCAGAAGCAGGTATGTCGCAGATAACTGTTGTGAGAGTGCTAAGGAAACATAAATTTCACCCACACAAACTGTCAGTATCGCAGACGTCGAATATTGAACAATGTATCCAAGACTCAGAAAGTAAAAAAAATTGCAAGTGATGCTGATAAAGTGAACTACATCTAATGTGCTCTACACCACATTTACCAATTGATCAGAGATCCTCAACTTGAACAGGTTATCTATGAAAACACTGCAGAATCCGACTCAGATATAGATGACGTGCCCCAACAGAGCAGTTCAGGCCTCGTTTGGAATCCCTCCAATGGACACATTTAAAACAGTTTAGGTTTAATGAATTCTAGCACAGTTACATATCCTCTACTATACAAAATGCATTACAACAAAACCCCAATAAGCTCTACGATTTGTTTATAAATAATGATATTCTGAATTTGATGGTTTTAAAGACTAATCCATATGGAGCTCAATGTAAGACCAAATAATTGGCACCTAAATCTAGAATCCACCAGTGGCGTGACAAAAAAACTTGGATGAGATGAAGAAGTTTATTGGAATTTTACTTTGGATGAGTCTTTGTCGGTTTCAATCCATAGAGTCCTACTGATCCGAGGACCCAATACAGTAGGACCCCGATTATCCGAGTTCGCTTTAACCGAGGTCGCGATTAACCGAGCTTGCTTGTTACTATGTAAACAACTTGCTTAGCAACAGTGTGTGCGCGCCGCGCCTCCCGCGCACGACGTCTCACTCACCTCTCTTCAGTCGCGTCGTTGCGCGCGTAGCGTTCGGACGTGTAAAATCGCACATTTTTGATACCCAACTCACGACGACGACAACTTCGTACAATGTCGACGCCAAAACGCAAAAGAGTCGTTATTTCTCTTCAAAAAAAGTTGGAGGCACTAGAGAGAATACGTAAAGGTGAATCATTGAAGAAATTAGCATCTGAATTAGGAGTTGGAGAAAACACAGTTGGTGATTGGAAGCGAAACCGCAATAAACTAGAGCAGTGGAAGGAGAAAACATCATCAACCGGGACATCATCGCTAATTGAACGAAAATCCATGAAATCAAGTGACTATGAAAAATTGGGAGATGCGTTATTTTTATGGTTTACACAACAGCGTGATAAGGGAGCTCCGTTCTCTGGACCAATTCTACAAGCGAAAGCATTATCACTGCGCACTCTTTTCCCGGAGGAAACGAAACAATTCACAGCAAGCCAAAGCTGGCTCGATAGATGGAAAAAGAGGCATGATATACTTCAGCCCAATATTTGTGGTGAGAAGCTATCTGCAGACAACTCTGCCGTGATAACATTTAAAGAAAAAAATCAACAAAAAATAAACAACGATGGATAAAGCCCAGATCAAATTTATAACTGTGATGAGACTGGCCTAAATTACAAACTTTAGCCAGCCAAAACCCTAGCATCACAACAAGAAACATCAGCTCCTGGTTACAAACGTAGCAAAGAAAGGGTAACAATTTTAGCATGCAGCAATGCTTCTGGTAGTCACAAATTGCCCCTCATGATGATTGGAAAATCTGCCAAGCCTAGAGCTTTTAAAAATCTTTCACCAACAGCCATGCCCGTTTACTATAGAAACCAAAGAAGTGCATGGATGGATTCAAAACTCTTCAAAGCATGGTTCTATGAAGAATTTGTTACTCAAGTGGAGCAACATTTGAAAAAAATGAAACTGTCTAGAAAAGCATTACTGCTACTGGACAATGCTCCATCGCATCCAAGTGAAGATGAGTTATGTAGCGAGGACATCAAAGTGCTTTTTTTTCCGCCAAACGTTACATCATTGATCCAACCAATGGATCAAGGAGTATTGGAAAATCTAAAGCGCAACTACAGATTTTGCCTATTAAAATCGTTTTTGGAAGCGTTAGAAAATGGTGAGGACTTAACGACTCATTTAAAAAAGGTGAATCTTAAGGACGTGATGTTTTGGCTAGCCCAATCGTGGCATGAAATGAAACCTGAAACTTTGATGAAGTCATGGCGCAAAACTGTCGATTTTTCGAAAGACAATCTCTCTGTTGAGGCACCTGTACTCCCGTTGCTTGAGATGGCGAGGTCACTACCGAGTGAGGACCCCTTAACAGAAAATGATGTCGAAGAGTGGATCAGAGGAGATGATGTGGAATTGGATTACACTGATGAAGAGATTGCGTCAATCGTTCAAGAACGCCAACGCATTGAAGAATCAAGTTCTGATGAAGAAATAATTTTTCAGAAACTTTCTCATTCGGAAGATTTAGCTGCATTTGAAACTGCCTTAGCTCATGTGGAGCAGCAAAACGAAGCAACGCCAGCAGACATTTTTCTCATGAAAAAATGGAGACATTGCTGCAAAAAATCGCGCTCCTCGATTACGTCAAACGAAAATTTCGTCTTTTTTACTCCTTAGTTTGCTTGTCATACTGTTAGGTATATACACACATATTACTTTAGTACTTACTTTATTACTGCGTACGTAAATAAAAGATATGTAATTTGATTAAAAATCTAATTTTATTTTACAGTAGAAAATAAAGTCCGTATTATCCGAGTTTTTGATTATCCGAGGTAGGCTTGGTCCACAATAGCTCGGATAATCGGGGTTCTACTGTGTATCATAATAAAATCTGTGATGTCACGAAACAGGTTTCAACTGATGTTGAGGGTATGGCACTTTCATAACATAAAAACACACCACATAAATGAGACAACCCCCAAATTCAAAGCCAAAGGCTGTGCGGAAGGGGGCTACACTTGAAAAAACTAGGATAACAACGACTATGTTTCCAATAACAGGCTCCAAAAAATACAGCCTTTGTTAGAATTACTTTTGAAAAATTTCCAAGATCAAATTACTCTAGCAAAGTCAGTGTGCATCGATAAAACTATGGTGCCATTTAGAGGACGTCCCAAATTTAGACATTTGGTAGGCACACTGCGATCAAATCGAAAACAAAACCCACAGGAAGTCACTCAGAAAAAATTGAAAAAAGGAGAATAATCGATCAACACCTGTAACCGCCGGTCTACAATCTAAGATAAGCTTTTGTGTCAAAATAATCGATTTCTGGTAGATGGAGGGGCATTTTCCGTAATTATCGGTCATTTTAGATTAGTGAAACCTAACCTAACTTCACTATGAACAAATAAAATAATTTGTGTTGATCATATTCATATAGGTATCTTGTGTTTCAGTCATGTCTTGCAAGGGTATCAAATATTACCAGTGGTCAGAACAAGATATGAAAACAGCAATAGGAAAGTATAGAACTGGGAAATTTGGACTGAATGAGATCTGCAGACAATACAAAATTCCTAAGCCAACTTTCAAGAGTCACCTACTGGGTACAAATATGAAGGCAAAGGAAGGAACTAAATCGGGGCGGTTAACCTAGAAAATCAAATTCTGAAAGCGGATGAATGCTTTTATGCCCTTACCACCAAAGATATTCAAAAATCGGCCTTCCAGTTTGCAGAAAAGAATGCCATACGCATCAACTTAACAAAGAGAAAGAAAAAGCCAGTAAGGCATAGTTTTATAATTTTATGATATCCATTTTATTTATTCATTTAACAAACCGCATGGTACAATTTCACTAACCAGTTGGGTAAATTGTACTATTTGCAACTTTAAAAAAAAAACTCATTCTAAACTCCTAGTATTTGCACAAGTTTTTCATTGTGCATTTTGATAGAAACATATGAAATAATCCTGGTTTAAATTTTCATTCTATTTTTATATTTTTGTTCTAAAAGAGCTTGACCCATTTATCAATTCTGTTGTGCAGTTATATTTTAAAAATCATCTTAAAAAAAACAAATTATACCAACCAGTTTACTTTACAAAGATGGAATTTGTATCATTAGGTCTTAATACTAACATTCTTTGTGTACATATGTATTTAAAAATGAGAAAATAGTTTATAGCGAATTTTATGGTATCACGTAGTATGCCAAATGAAGCAATAATAAAACCATAGGTTTGAGATTTGCGGCACATTTAGCTCCTAAGACCTATAACTTATTACCTTTAGAAAAAAAAAAAACTTTAAAAAGTACTCACATCTCTGTAAAATATATATAATTAACAACTATTTCTCATTTTTGTCGTTGATTGAACAATATCTTTGCTAATGTGTGTGAAAGATGATACTGCTTTGTACAATAATTTGAATTTTACTCTAGACTATTGTATTTACTGCTTGCACAATTCAAGTGTTTATTCTCTGAGCGCTTTGTGTTTACTTTTAATGAATATGTACATGTTTATATATTTTTTGTATTATCTAGTATTTGTGGTAGGTTGTATTTTTACATATTTGTAGCTTAGTTACATGTATTCCTACCCTATAATGTTTAATGTTAGGTGATGACAAAAAACAAAAAACTATTTTTAACTGACTGCGTACATCCCGTAGAAGTGAAACGAAAGACTTCAGAAAATAATTTTTTCAAATGCCAATTGACTCATGAGTATTATCTTTTAAGCGACAATAAAAAAGGGCGAATTGCCAACAATTTTTAATTTGTACTTTCTCAGAGAAATCTCAGAACAGTCTTTGCCAATAAAGTTCGAGAAATTTTTCCAAGTGGCATTGATAGAAGGGGTGAACATTCCTCTTATAACAAAGCTACCGAATCTCAAATAAATTTGTTTAAAGGCTTTGTTGGGTCTCTTCCCGTGGTGCTCCCCCTACTACTGCCATAGCTGATCCAGCAAGAAATACGTTCCGTCAGATATAAGGTCTTTAAATAATTTATACCCGATGTATCCCCGATACCCGATATAAGACCTTTAAAAGAGACTAGTTTTTTAAATATATTCAAAGAAATGTTCAATATTGTTATTCACGTTCCCAGAAAGCATAAATGCACTTTAGTGTGAGTCCCACAAAAATCGAGATAAAAATGGAAGAACACATCAACATAACGAAAATTATGACAAACGTTTTAGAGACAAAAAAATTATCAAACAAATATTCTTACATAAACAAAAGCAGGAATCAATTTGGAAAAAGGTATAGTGACTTTTGATTTAATGGTTTTAGTTACCTCGTACAGTGATAGCATGTTAACGGGATATTACCGGGAATATGCCATATATTGATGGGTTTTTGCCTGTCATAATAGACCGGGAGATATTAGACTGAAAGGTAACCGAGAGACAAGTACAATAAACTAAATTTAAAAGATGGGCTGCGGGACACCTTTGTGAAAATTCAATTTTCCTTTTCAAAAAAATTATTATTATTATGTATTTCTCACTTATGCCATGTTCATAAGTAGAGAAGTATCGATTTTTTCACAAAATTTTTTTGGCATAAGGGACCTAAAAATGGAAAACTTTGTAAGAAAATGTGAAAAACATGTTTATTTGTCTAACAATTTCTCAATAACGCCAATTAGAAATATGACATTGTTATATTCGAAAAGCTCATAAAAAACATTGGCATAAGTCCTACTAAGGACTAAAGAAAATAGGGCGTTGGAAAAGCTGCGGAAAATTTTTCGTTTTGGTCAACGTGAAAGTATTCATTTTTTTAAAGGGCATAAGTCCCTGGTGAGGATTATATGCTAAAAAATTTTTGAAAAGTTGTAGGAAAATTCATGAACATTGTTACGTCTTTCTCGCTTATGCCATTTTGCATGCACGTAGAAAACTACATTATAAAGTCATATAAATGTAGGCATAAGTCCATATTGGATTTTCATGTTGTAAATTATTTTGAATTTTAATACGAGTCAGGTCGATAAAGTAGAAAAATAATAGAAAATTGCCACAATTTTCTCATTTATGCCGTTTCATACACGAGTAGAAAATATTATTAAAAGCCATTTTCAAGAGTGGCATGAATGCCACAAGGTATCGTCGTATGTAAAAATTGGTAAAAAAAACCTTGGGCTCTATTCTCGAGTAGTTTTATTATTATGACGAATAATTTAATTCTTAATAAACAATTTTTCTTTGCAGTAACGCATTTAAAGATATTGAAAAATTCGTTTGCCAAATGTACTCAACAAAAAAAATGGATTAAACCACTTTCAATATGTTATTCAGTTATTTATAAAAACCTACGGCACGGTGGACGTAAATGAACACTTGAAAAAACAATTATTGAATTTTAATGCTTGTTCATTGCCCCCCTGCCGTAGAGAATTAATGCAACATATGTTGCGTACATCATACATTGGCAACTTATGGAGTAACTAACTCTACCAAGAGCATTTCTTCAGCATTAGATGTTACTGAGTACGGGTGGCTACTTGAGGAAAGTTCTCTTTCATTCGAATGGTTTGACGGTGAAGAACTCCCAGAAACCATTGGTGATATACTTTTAAATGATGAAGATGAAGGTAAATAATTATTATCTTTTCAATTGACAATATAATTTTAATAACACTTAAAAATTGGAACACAAAATGTCAAAAGCTATTTCATTAAAATTTGTATTATGTATTTGCTGGTATATATTTTATTTCAGTTTTTATTTTATATATGTATTATTCATGCATTACATATATTTTGTACTATTTTGCAGCTTTAAATGATGAAGAGGCCAATGATGATCAGAAGCCAGTGAATCTGCTCGTTACAACAACATGATAGGGTTTGGCACCGATCTTAATGACTTGACAAACGTTTATTGATATACAAAACAGAAACTATTTTATGAATTTTTCATAGTTAAAAATTATTTTATCATTTCAAATATGTTGAAATAATTCTTTAAACTTTCACATTTGTTCTTTTATTAAATTAGGTTTTCTTTCAACACCAATAATAGCGATATTGTTAAAACAATGTAACTTAATTTTTTTCTGTGATACACAAATATACAGAAATAGGTCCAGATACCCCAAATCAACTATGGGGCAACTGGACCCACTGTAACAGAAACTACTAATTATTATTTTTTTTTAATTTAGAGTTTTTAAATTTGTGTTTAGGGGATTTCGTTACTAAAAGAAAACATACATAGGTACATTTATGTGAGTTTGTTTTGTTCCTTTTATTTTATTTTTATATTTTAAGCTCAATAAAAAAATATTTAAAGTTGACCTTGTAAAAACATGTTCCAGTTACCCCACCTTACCTTAATTGTTTCAAACCTACTAGAGAGAAAATTTAATATTACTATATGCAAGTTACCCAGGTACAATAGAAAACAATAATTTTAACCTATAAAACAAACTTGATTCTTTACAAAACAGTAATAAATTAACTGCAAGATAAGTTTTCGTCTTGTTTTAGCTGAGAAAGTAAAGATGTAGATGAAAATAATGTTAATAAAAGAGCAATGCTCTTTACAGTGAGGAACAAATTAATATTATGCCAATATTGCTGGTAGATTTAGATCAAGTATTTATCGAAACCAATAATTCAATACATATAGAAGGTTTGACTAATGATGAGTTCAAACATGAACCAGAAAATAGTATCACAACTGTTTACTTCTATTGCTGATTCTAATGAAATATCGGACAAAGATCCACCAATAAATATGGTTGATTATGACAGTGTTTCTTCTACAGATGATAATGAAAATTCTGTCAAAAAAATAATACACAAGAGACCAAAACGATTTTATTATTACAAAACCGTTTAACCTCCGATATCTCGTACTTTTCAGGACAGTCAAGTAGTAAAGATTCCGATTTTGAATTTGAGGTACGAAAAAAGGATAAATGTAAACTGTGTGGAAAGGATAGTTCTTTTAAAAAAACTGACATTTCTAAGGAATTATTTAAAAAACATACAGAAACGAAATGACAAAGTAAAGAATTATTCTCAGAAGATCAAAAAAGGTACTTCTGACAGCAACTTCCTTTGTGCCAGTTTCGATTTTGAAAAATTATTGAATACTCCTCATGCAGATAATTTACTGTTGTACTATTCAAGGAAATACATATTCTATAATGAATTGATCTATAAATCAGGTACACGAAATGGCTATTGCTATATTTGGGGAGAGTGCGATGGCAACGAAGGATGTAATGAGACTGTACAGTACTATTCAAATTTTTAGCAGACATAGATAAAAAAAGGTGTAGAACACGTAAGTTTATATTGTGACAGCTGCGCGGGACAAATTCGAAACCGTGCAATGTTGGCTGTTACAAAAATTCCCACAAGAAATAGCAACAACTATCAAAACAATAAAGATAGTATTTTTGCTTCCTGGGCATACCTACATATATGCCAGTTGATTCTGTCCATGCAACGATTGAAAGATCTATTAAAAATAAGATTATTTGGGCACCATCAAAATGGGATACCATTCTTACTAATGCTAGAATCAACCCAAAACCCTTAGAAGTTGTAAGGTTGCATTCTCAGATTTAAAAAATTGGAAAAAATATGGAGAAGAATATCTGCCATCAACAAAAATGATGAACGGTCAAACGTTCAAAATCAGTCAGCTTCGTCAAACATATTTTGAAAAACGCGAATCTAAATTAAATTATAACTATGGCAAGCAAGAGTACCAAAATGTATGTTATTCCGGCAAAGCCATATGGTAAAATATCTCTTGTCAAGAACATATTTTTTATTGCTTACAAATTCTTTAAATATTAGGTAGAGGATTAAATTGTTTTGAAGTGTTATCACAACCTCTTTACGATCATAAATTGCCAATATCATGCCAAAAAAAGTTAAATCTCGACAATTTGTGTAAAACAAATGTAATACCTATTAAATACCATCAAGTATGAAGTCAAAAAGTTATGTTGAAGATATAGGTATTACCAGAAACGGACAAAGAAGATGAAATTCACAATGACAATTAATTATCAAATTAACTTGTTAGTGATTCCTCACTCCTAGAAGGTCTTCCCGATGTCGAAGATCACTATCGCACCCCTATATTCCGAAAAGACAGACACCTGTCAACAGCATTAGTTGTGAGCGAAATACAATACATGCTCCAATACAAAGACAATCCATCAGCATTGAAAGGAGAACACAGAATGCTACTCGCACACATGCAAGACCACAACTACCAGTCTTCACATCCTGATACATTATATGGTTGGTTTATGAGAAATTACAAATTATCTTATTCAAATCATATCAAATCTTAGAATTATAGATGTTTTTTTCTCTTAATAAAAATACTCATATTTAAATAACTTTGTTTTTCAAGAAGATTAGCAGATTAACGCCTGTACCTAATCAGTACCAACAAATTATCGTAACTCGACAGTTTACATTATTTTTTGTGCAAAATTCACCAAACAAAGTATTGTAACGTTATAAACAACAAAATCTTACTTTCAGGTGAAAATTCTTAATATTTTTGAATTTTGTGCTCTAATAAAACCCTAAAAACAACCTCAGGACTAACCTACAGTTTAAGACTAACATAAAAACAAATTATGCCATTTACTGTAAATCTTAGGTTATGTTGCTTCTAATACTCTGGCAGAAAGCCATCGGTACAATTGTACTATATATGAACCATTTACACAAAAAACGGAATTTGTTATGTATGCGAGGGGAGGTTCAACTACCTCACAGAAACAGATGTATGTAACAGCGTAAATTTAAAATTCTTCTGCGATAACTGCAGTGGGCAGAATAAAAAAAAACTAAATACTATTCTTTATGTTTTAAATTATTATTCAAATAATATAAAATAAATGGTTCTGACATTTCTTTTAACAGGGCACACATACATGCCCATCAACTCGCAGTGATTGAACTCGATAAAATAAAAAATTTACGAGAGCTCCATAGAATGGAGCACAATTTTGAGGAATGCAAGACTGGATCCTTTACCGTACACGGTAAAAACTCTTAAATACAATGATTTTCTGGATTTCAAAGAAGCATCTCAATTACACCGTTTTCGACTGATTGCTCTAGAGTGCTCTCGAGCACTCTTAGATCGATCTTATCACAAATTTCATGTTCGACTGGGTTGCTCTATGTAACTCTAAAACAGATTATCGTGTTCAGCAGACAAAAAAATTTTTTCTTGAGCAATTTCAAATTGCTCCTTTGTGCTCCTTATGTTTTGCAGGAGCAGCTATTAGGAGCACTATAGAAGTGGGGGAAATATAAACATAACCTATATTTTTTAAGTTAAAGTTTATACTTTGTAGTTAAAAGTTTTCATCACTTTTGTCAAATAAAAGAAAAACCACGAGTAATGAAGAAATATTAGATATTTTATCAAATTCAAGTACCTGACAATAATAACAATTTTATTTTATTTTCATCTATTTTTTGTTGACAAATTGTTGGGAATTCTGGTTACTGAAACCAATTCTACAGGGAAAATTCTAAGAAAATCTACAGAAAGAATGTACTAGTCGAATGAAGAAATCTTTGCAACACCAATTTTCTCCTAATTGATGAGTTATCGTCGTTGTTCTAATATAAAGAAAAATTTGCACTTCATGGATAATGAAAGTTACGATCTACATAATCACCCTAATCCGAAATTGAATAAAATTTGGCGTGTTTTCCATAATATAAATGTTAGCGTTTGGCATATGGATCAATGCCTACGTGACTTAACTATGAACAATGTTGTAGCATATTTTAATCTCAAGTTAGTTCTGACCTTGCAATGTATGGAGATAGACGCATGGTGAGGTGGTTGGGTGAATAAATTGTAAGAGTTTTGTGTTAATTAAAGTCAGTATTATTAAACTATTTATCTTAATATTAACCTGATTCTTACATCAGAAGTGGGATACCTCCCTTTCTATCCATACGAGAGGGAAAAAGGACCTAAAACATTGTGATCAAAATGGCCGACCAAATTGCGACGCGAATCGGTAGTTAATGCTGACGCTGATAACGAGTCTGTGTTAAGTGAACAGGACGGTGTAAACGGACAGATATTAACAATGTGGAAATTGCACCAAGAAAGCAACATGGAATTTCAAAAACAAATGATGCAGATCCTTTCTACAATGGCCGCTCAGAGCACTTCTAACAACATTGTGTCGGCTAGTACAGCAGCATCAGCTACGCCTGCGCCGGGTGTCGTCAGATCCGCTTTAGCGTACATACAATTATCGAGGTTTGACACTGACGATACTCCGTTTTCCATCATCGAATGAATGGATGAGGTCACCCGAATTCAACAAGGAGTCGACATGTTGGACACGCTGATTCTGCTCACCGTTATGTTATCAGCAAGCATATACAAAGGTCGTTTAGGATGGGTTCAACGAAGAGATCGCGTTTTGGAATAAAATGGAATCTTTTATGTGAAGAAATTGAAGAAAAATGAAGTTATAGCCTTTCAAAGAGGAAAAGTGATTACATTCAAGTGAAAAGACAAAAAGGATGTCTGTTTACGCTCTACTATCCACAGCAGTAAGACGGTTGAAACGACAAGGACGGGGCTAAAATTTGCAAACCTCAACTCGTCATTGTTTATAATAATACTATGGGCGGAGTTGACAAGTTAGATGAACATTTACATGACTATCCCGTTAAAAGAAAAAAGGGGGAAAATATTACAAAAAAATATTTTTCCATTTATTAGACATATGTGTATGGAAATCGTTTATATTATATTAAAAAAATGGTGGAATAAAAACTCACTAAAATTTTTGACAAAAATTAGAACAGCTGCTAATTTT